AATTTGAGTGGAGTGAAACATGCCCATCCCTCCTCCCCATCAATTCTATCAATCTTGTTAGACAAATATACAGGACATCGCAGTGACACTGACGTAACCTTTACACTGCTAAGGGATATAATATCTGGAGTAATATTGAGTTTAAGCGTAGAGTATAAGTTTAAGTGAACCATAGCTCAGATACGCGTTGAGCATACGGAGCCATAGCCTGCCTTCCGATACCTAGAATTGCTAAATAACGTAGGTGTAAGTTGGAAAAGGGTTTAGAATGGTCAGCCACTATGAAGTCTTCAATTGTTGGTTTGACACTAATTACCATACGGATAGGTGAAGAAAGAATGATTTCTTACGCCATCAGAATTCTCCGAACCGACTATGACAGACTGACTAATATGGTTGGAAAGCGTTCTTGAAAGACGCAAATGCATTCACTCTTTGTATTATCTCTTAGAACCTCATGTTTTTTCCACGTCACTATGGCTTCCACAGCGTAATTCTTCCTTTTCGCTACTTTTGTGTGCTACATGAAGACTGTGGTTAAATTTGAACTGCATCTACATTTCTGTGTAAAGTTGTTCAGTATTTGGAATTCAACCACAGCCACTTGAGATACATCATCTGCATACCGCTTGACTACTGGGAATTCAGTCCCATAGCCTTTTAAATGGTTGGAGACAATCGATGACAGGAAGCCTTGCACTTAGGTTTCGTGCTAATTGGCACTCACTAGCAGCAAGGCGTATCTGGAACTTTAAAGGAACTCATTTCTTTTCTGAGGTTCGAACCCATTTCCCCCAGTACTACAGTCACAGACATTATCACTCAGCTTTCCGGGCTTCTACGCGATCTCTAACATAGACATGATAACCGGCTGTCGACCGAAAGACATGTGTACTGCTCAACAATTTCCCCCTTCCTTCTTTATGGCTGTGAGTGAAACATGGATATTGAAAGAGGAAGACGTGAAAAGGTTAGATCTCTTTGATCATAGGTGTCAGCATTCTATCCCCATGTTAGTTAAGTGGTATAAAAGTATGAGAAATAATGAGATGAGGCATTGGTCGAATGAAAAGTAGGGAAGGTAAACAAGTCGAAGAGGTTGTGAAGTGGCTGCATCGATTAAGATGGACAGGATATTTGTTACTCATGCACACGAAGCCATTACTTTCCTTGATGGACAATGTTAGCCACTGACATAGGATAGGATCTGGTTGGGAAAGATTTGTCTAGTGGTGGGCGGTCAAACCAAAACATGGCCTCATCAGTCAATGAAATTCATAACAACGGCTAGTTTGAGCCGGCCGGCCACGTAGGCAGATGACGGCTGTGTAACTATCTCAGGGATGGAATCCTAGGGATGGTAAGAACCAATGACAACTGGAGACAATTGGTGGTGATAAGGCTCAAAATCCTCATTCTGAATGGTGGCTCAGATGCATTCACTCCTTGTGATTTCCCAAGTCATCCAATAAAACTCTATTCTTCTTTTTTTAAATGCCAATGAGTCAAACACCGGACCACGGAGATCATAATTTTTGGCTCAAACGGTATCAATTTCGTATTCTGTTTCCCTGGCTGATATGTCGTACGAAGACTTAGTGCGATGTCTTTTAAGATCTGTGAAAGTTGACATCACGTGAATATATTAAGTTGTGGATATTAGTTTGCAATCAATTTTTTTATTCTCTATGAAGCAATCATTGCTGACACATGTGAAAGAGATCGGTCAAGTTAATCGGCAATGTATTTAGTTTATGAATAACTAAGCTGAAATTGTATTCAGCCACTACTTGTCTATGTGTGAGAGCGGCATATAGCTACTATTATATCAGTCAATGGGAGGAGCTTGAAAGAAACAACCTCCTCTACCTAACTGGGAAGTATCGTTTCAACTACAGCCGGGAGGACCTGACGAGGATATCAAAGCCAGAATCGGGAAAGCAAGACAAGCTTTCATTATTCTTTAGTCTGTGTGGATGTCAACAGCAATCAGGATCAAAAATAAGATCCGGATCTTCAACTCCAATGTGAAGTCAGTCAGTGCTACTATACGGATCAGAGACTTGGCGAGTCATGAAGAGCATCTCAAACAAACTTCAGATCTTTATTAACAGTTGTCTTCGCTCAATACTCAAGATCAGATGGCCAGTCAGAAAGGATAAGCAACAGGGATCTCTGGCAATGAGCGAACCAACATAACAGGAACCGATTGTGAAACAAATAAGCAGGAAGAAATGGAGATGGATTAGCCACACGCTGAGGAAACCGTCAAGTGACATCACTAGACAAGCCATCGTTCGAGTGGAACCCGAAAGGGAAGCGGGCGGCAATTTGGTCGTCAGTGCAAGGGTTACTTGGAGGAGGTCATGTGAAGAGGAGATGAAAGCATGTGCGCAGACTTGGAGCGGAGGGAAAAAGTTGGCAGAAAACCAAACGCAATGGAGACGCGCGGCTGAAGCCCTATGTTCCTCTAGGAATTAAAGGATATAATAATAATAATAATAATCAGTAGAATATGTAGAGTCACTCAATTATGCTTGCTTAACGCCGATTGCCATTTATTGTGAAATAGTGGAGATTTGTAGCTCAGGTGTATGATGCTGTGCTGTTTTCTGAGCTGAGCTGGTAGTAGATTTGACCGTAGAACTTCCGTTTTCCAACGCATATTTTAATATAAAATGAACTTATTCGATGAATTCTGGATGAATTGTATCTCCTGATAACCTTTAATGTCGTGATTTGTTGTTAACTTACAACTATTTCTGTAAATCATTTTTATTAATTTCGAATATGAACTTTCTTGTCTTGTCATTTATTCTTTATTAGCTGATAAATTTCGTCTACAATGACAAGTTTATTAATCGCTGGCTGATTTATGTGAATATCAGGCTTCTAGAAATCCCTTCATTGTACTTTTGATTTCTCTATTTAAAATTCTATATTATCACAATCAAATTCATGTCCGTTTTTATTTACAAGCAACGAACGATATCATGAAAGGTAAGATATCGTCCCTCGTCACAGCTAACTTAAACTCTTCGATTCAGAGTAGATGCGAGAGCCAATTATCAACGATATAACATTTATCGCTGTTCATACAATTCATTTTGTAAAGAGTCAAACATTTCAGTCCACACAACAACAGAGTGATTCCACTGACATGTGTGGTTTGTTTATTTAAAACGGTCAAATCTCCCAGCCAATCACTGTGAGACAGGAATCAAGCGAAACAAACCAGTTCATGTGAATCACGCTTGTAGTATCTGAAAGTGACGTCTAACAATCCGACATATGCAGGATTTAGTTTAAGGATGATTGGACAAGGATGGCTGACGACTAATTGTCAAGTAGGCGGTGGAATGGAGATAGTGAAATAATCATCAGCATGATTAAGAAGACTGACCGCATCAGAAGGAGGCCGAAGTGATGATGTAGGCAGGAAGAAGACCAACTTGATTCAGTGAGTGATTAAGCAGTCCGTGACAGAGTGATTGACTGATTGATTGAGATTCACTCAGCTTGTGGAGAATCTCCTATAACCAATCAAATCCCCTAGGCATCTTTTCTTTTCGATATTGTCTAATCTTCTCTCAATATATACGACTACATCCAATCCATTTCATCACATGCGTATTGATTTTCATGATGAACACTATTCACTGTGCAGTCCTCCTCTATATGCGCTCTTTAGTGAATACTAAATCTAAAGATTGCATTTTATATCTGATAGGAACCTTAAGAGGAGAATTTATTGGAAGAAAGGGTCATATTTATTGAAACAGAAACTTTGCACATTCTGTGCATCAGGCCACCATATGCCACAGACAATTTCAGTTTGTCAGTAGGGCTGTATTACTCAATGTCGAGACATCCTGACAATAGAAGTATGCAGGTGGTCGCTACGTAAGGGAGGCCACCCCGGTTCATATGTCACTACTAGGCAGCCCATCTACACACCGTAGGTTTGGAATTATGAATTTCTAGCTCCTCCCCAACAAACCACTATGAAGTAGACTTGCATTTTCTTCGCCCGTTCGAATATCACCAGCGGTGTTTACCACTTCTGTGAGGAACACACCCTCTCACTCATCTCGTGATGAAGGTAGGTGACAGTGTGCATAAGACAACTTACCTGACGGCAAAAAGGCTATGGTGACAGCGTGTGTGGCGGCCACATGAAACAGCATTCCGACACAGTCTACTACTCACTCTGCCATCGCAACTGTACCAGATCGTTGTTCTTCAGAGTGACTTCTAATATTCAAGTGTTGGTTGGCATGGATTGAATTTGACTGGTTACAGGATTTCATAATAAGGTGACATCGGCTAGAGGATCATTGGAAAACCAGCCAGGGAGTACTCAACAGCTGTTTCGTCAGTTAAGTTCAGGACCCTTCATCAGAACGCACCAATCACAAAGGTTCGGACTGAAGACTTTCTAGTTATAGGGAAAGCTCGTAGACCATTGAGCCACTGGGACCCAATCCAATGGCCAACCCATGAATTCCAACTTCTGTTAATCCACAATATACCGGCGACTGGAACTAGCCAATGTCAGTGGTGGCGAGTATTTGCCCTCACACCCAATCCGACTTTTAATATTATGTTTATTTAGAAATTTGTTCAATCAACACCCTCATTACTAACAGTTTTGTTGGACAATTTAATAGACTTCACGCCCTCCCCCCCCGCAGTGATTCACGCGCATTTTATTGCAGTCTTCGAATCCCACACATTATCGACAACACAGAAACAAAAAACACACACTCATCATCTCACGAATAAAAGACTTGTATTCGGAAATTCAATTTTTCACCTCTTTTTGGTGGAATAGGGATGCAGAAAAATACAGTGATTAAATTTATTCATCGATCGATTTCACGGATCGACCGATTGATTGACTGACTGATGAACAATTCTACACAATATGAAACACAAACAAACCAACTAACCAAATCAGAAGAACAACAACAGCAACACGGAACAATCAACAAACACACTAGGCTGCTGCATTTTCTACTGGTATATTGCCATCATCTTCGCCGCCTTTCACCGAGTAATCTTCATTATTCTCCATGATAGGAGGTGGTGGTGATTGAGCTTGTGGAGGTTCTGGGAGTCTTCTTGCATTGGGGAGTCATGCCCACCGCCATTGTTGTAGTCATTTTGTGAGGCTGCTCCATGTTCTCCTCCACCTCCTCCTCTATTCTCTTCCTGTTCTACTTCACTTCGACGATAGGTGATTTTCAGTGGACTGGTGTTATTCTGTGCTGACGCCTGCGACTGGTGCTGTTGGCCATATTCTCCTGCGGATGGCAGATGCTGTGATGAAGGGGCTGTTGGTGCTACAGCTGGAGTGTTTACAGTTGGACCTTGCATCTCTTGAAATTGAGCCATATATTGTTGTTGTTGTTGAAACTGTTGTTGTAGCTGACGTTTAGCTCTCAACTGGGCAACAAACTGATCTAATTCAGCGAGATTCTCGTCTGACTCACTACGTTTAAAATTGGTTACGAGGGGTGCCAATGGAGGCGTTTTTATACGAGCACGAGATATCACACTGTGAAAAAGAAAATATAAAAATCGATATAGGTATAAAACTTAGGCACTGTAGCAGAGTATAACTCCATTATGGATAAGATTTTATTTTGATAAACCACACAGTGTTTGTTATACACTAATATTAACTACTGGCATTTCGAGTACAAATTATTGCTCATAATCATATCAAGTTACTCACACAACTTTTTTCCTTCATTTATATACATGTGTGGAATTGAATAGATATTTCAATGGAAATCAATATGGGATAATGTACACTCAGAAATAATAATATAAAATATAAAAAGGAAATAAAGTTACAGCTGCAGTTCCTAGTGAAAAGTGTTGTGCGTGGCCAGCGTGGAGTCCATACCATGTCAGGTAAGAGGACAGTTATTCATCGGGTAACATCCGCTATAATTCGTAATATATATATATATCACTAATTGTTGAGAGAGGGAATTCATGGGGTCACTTTGTAACTGGAAGGCCCTGTACTAAAACCCTGGCGAGTGAGTGTGTATCGCCGAAGAGTCCCCAACTGATGGGTGGAGGAGGCCAAACTGCTGTCAAGGATCCCCAGGTTTGTTGGTTAGTTTCACAATGGTTCCCTCCCCCACTTACTGATGTCGTCACTCAGCTTGCGATCAAACCTCTAACCAATCAAATCCCTCCTGTGCATACCAATGCTCTTAAAAACAGTTCAAGTGAGTCACGGAGGGCTTAGAAGAGTAAGTATGATCGGCCACAGTAGTGTAAGAGATAAGCAGAGAGTTGTCCCCTGAGTGGATGACACCCCTAGTTCTCATTCAGAAATGCCCACTGCTTTCCAAATTTTGCTAGATTCCATCGCGGATGTACTAATGCAATAGACTGCCCCTAACTGACCATAGTGAATTAGGTAGGGAATGACTTGTTACTCCCAAGGGTGGCACAGAGTATGCCAGTGACAGTGTCCTATTCCTAGGTGGAAATGATGAAAGAATGTAGCAAATTAATTAGAACATCCTGAGTGAAGATCTTCAAATGTTTAAAATGTGATAAGCTCCTGTCAAAAGTAAAAATGATGCCAGAGGACTGGTCTACCCTCCTAATTACTTAGGGATAAGGAATCAAGGGGTCAAACATGTTGACCACCCAAGTCATCACTGACGCAGAGGTGATGCGTAGCTGCCGGTCAAAGAACACAGGTACTACATAACGAAATTTCACTGTGTCCATCTTTCTAGATCTGTGACATGACTACTGAAAGCGGAAGAAATGAAAAGTGATATCCCATAAGGAACTTATTTGCAAGGATGGATGGCGACTAATTGTCAAGTAGGCGGTGGAATGGAGATAGTGAAATAATCATCAGCATGATTAGGAAGACTGACCGCATCAGAAGGAGGCCGAAGTGATGATGTAGGCAGGAAGAAGACCAACTTGATTCAGTGAGTGATTAAGCAGTCCGTGACAGAGTGATTGACTGATTGATTGAGTGAGGGACATTGACTATAGTAAGCTAAGTAGTGTTGGAGGAATTCACTTTGTATACGCATACAATGTACTGATTCGGTATGAGAGAAATGCCAAGCATTCGCGAATAATCCAGCTGCCAGTCGGTCTTCGAAAACACCAAGCTTGTTTAACAAAAGATGGCATAGGTAGAGACAGAGTGAAAGCCAGATGATGTGTATCATGTGAGAAGGCGAAGTTGGATAGTTGGATAGTTAGTAGTAGTCTCATGCCTACGACACTCTTCTCATCACACAGGATGAATGGTGTGCCTTCCAGAAAATAAGCTGGCATCCTTCACATTATATAATATTGAGTCGCATGCATAGGCAAACATGAAGTCTTCATAATGGCTTCTTTTGTCCTACCCACCTAACTACCGACACAAATAACCAACTAATTCACTGACTGGCTGACTGACTGACTGACTGACTGAATAACTAACCAACTCACTACCTCCGGATCGATTAGATTTTCCATGTATATAACTTTAATTTATGAATCACGTGTTGCTAAATGACCAGACGCTAACAGGTGATCACAAATAGTCGACTTTATAGTTCTACGTTCGCCTTTCATTAACCAAACCGGATAGTGTTCTGCTACACGTTTTCGGAGATTACGCTTACAACGTCCAATATAAACAGCTCCACAAGAGCAAGTAAAAGAGTAAATGCACATGGATGTGGACAAAAGCGGTAATCTATCCTTGACGCATTTTCTAATCATATTTCGGCTGGTAAAAACTAGATGCAAGTCAGCTGCAGGTAAAGTACGTTTAATACATTTAGATAAACGATTTTTAATCAATTCTGAAATGGTGTCACCTTTGAATGCAAGACTCATAAACAGCTTTTTCTTTGGTACTGTGACTTGTCTCGGGTTGGATTCTTTCTTGATGTTACGTTCAATGAACCTTGTAGGATAACCATTCTTAAGGAGATTTGATCGAAGGTTGTCTAGTTCCCTATCGATTGTCTCTGGAGAGCAGATTTTATGAATTCTGGAGCATAAGGAGTGAATAAGATTTCTCTTTCTCCCTAAAGGTACCCAACTGTTGAAGTTAGTGTACTGCCCAGTGAATGTTGGCTTTCGATAAATCGACCTTAGAAGCGTTCCATTCTCTCTTCTATCTAGCTTAACATCAAGAAAGTGAAACGAAGAATCCGACTCTTCTTCGATCGTGAAAAGCAAAGATGGGTGAGAACCATTAAATATTCTAAGAAGTTCGGCAGTTGAAGTGTTTTCATCACATACAATGAAGGTATCATCAACATATCTTTTATACATAAACAGACTATCGATGGTTTCCTTCAGTGGGCCATTCTCTAAGCTAGCCATGAAAATGTCCGCTAAGAGCGGTCCTAAATGAGACCCCATGGCGACTCCATCTCTTTGGTTGTAGATGACATCATTAAATCTGAATTGCACATTCAGTGTGCATCTCAATAGTAGTTGTTTAAGATAATCAGTTGGTAAGCCAATGTTGATGCTATTTGATTCAAAAAAAAAAAAAAAAAAAAAAAAAAAAAAAAAAAAAAAAAAAAAAAAAAAAAAAAAAAAAAAAAAAAAAAAAAAAAAAAAAAAAAAAAAAACATTAATTTCATCAACACAACTGATGAAGTCAAAAGTGTCGGAAAGACTATGTTTACATAGATTTAATCTAACTGGTTCCAGAATTTCCGCAAGCCATTTAGCGGTAGAGCGATACGCCGAATTTAGCATATCCAATACAGGTCGCAGAGGGACATCATCTTTATGCACCTTTGGGAGACCATATAAACGGGGGATAGTTGAACCAGATGGTTTAAGCTGTTCATACATATATGGAGTAATGATGCATTCTTGCTTCAATTTCGTCAAAGTTTTAGATAATTCCTTCTCAATATTATCTGTCTTGTCCTTTTGATCAGGTGATTTTAGAAATTTATCTTCATCACTCAGGATGGTACATAATTTATTGACATAATCCTCACGATTAAGAATAACAATACCTGATCCCTTGTCTGGACGAATCAGTATTATGTTTTTGTTGTTAAGCAATTCATTTAGTTGTCTGTTGTGTTCTTTTGATAACATTTGTCGTTGTCTGCCTTGCGTTCTTTGGTACTGGTAATAACAATGAAGTAATGAAGATTTGAATTGTTCAACATCTTCGCTGGACATTGGACTCAAGTCATGTGTTTGATTCATGAGATTTTCAAACTGAACTTTTGTGTCTAATTCGTTGACTCTGGACGAAACAGTAGAGAACTTAAGACCCAAAGATAGGATTTGCATTTGAATATCCGACAAATTTAAATTAGAATAGTTAAAAACGTATTTCTCTGGCGAATGCGGAAACTTAAAGTGAGACTCGATTGTTTTACAACTTTTCAGTATATTTATTTTAACATCTTCAGATCGTTTCTTTATAACGTCAGAAATATAATCCACAAACAGGCTACATTCTGTCTCTGTCAGTTCAAACAAGAAATGCCTACGTTGTGATACGTTATTCTCAAGTTCCGGAAGACGCGTTTGTATGGCGTCGATCAGGTTCAACGCATGACGCTTGAGAGTTCGACCATTTGGATAAATATGATTACGGCGTAAAATTTTCCAGTAAAATTTCGGATATTCTCCATTCTTAATGCAGCTTTTGAGAGTATCAGAATTAGCATTCGCTTCCACATGAACAGAAACCTAAATTATGTGTTCAAAAGCGTTTTGTCAAACCCCTTTCTTTACCTTGGTCATAATAATTTTCTTTCTAGTTTTTATTTTATTTTACCACTTGAATTCTTTCCACTTCACTTCACATCTTCATTCTTATCGTAATCGTACTCCTAATTTTCATAACTTTTTAGACAACACTTGACATTTTTGTTATAGAAAAATCTTTCATATTTTTGTAATTTATCCACCTCAACGCTACCCCTTATAATTTTATCACATATACGTATAGACTGAGAAATTATTTAGTGCCAACTAATAACCATTTTCTGTAATATAAATACGATTCTACAGCTTGAAAATGAAGCCGTTGAAAAGAAATTTCTTCGCTGAACAAAAACTGCGTATTTCATTATGAATAAATGCGTATTATTCGAGAACTAATTACCTCACAAACTAACTTGCTATCTGACTAGCTAACTACCAACATGATGAGATAGATGCAAGCGCGAGAGATGTGAATAACGAGCGAGGGTTGTGACAGCCTGCCTTCCTGTGCATCCAACAACACTGTGACTGAAATTCACCAATTTCTTGCATCACTTCAAATGCCTTCCTACTACAATAGTAACGAGTCGGCTTAGCGACAGCCGACTTCGCCCTGCCCTACGGAGGACAGCTTTCAGTGCTGCTTCGTACGGTTAATACAGGCCTACTTCTAAGTAGCCCATGAACAATTAACACAGGAAGACGGAGCAATAAACAATGAATTCGTAGAACACTGACCACACGAGTTAACAAACTTGAAAAGTGAACACTGAATCAGACTGATATCAGAATGTCTCAACATGATGAGGGAAAAGCCGA